CAATAAATTTACTAACTTGACAAAAATTTGTACACGACATCTAATCCGCTTAAGAAAAACTTATCTTAAACTTAATCATATCTATAACTTAAATTAACTTAAACATAACTTCTAAAAATGATTCTTAAAACTTGATTAGAATTAAATACAACCCGTCATTAATTGAACCAAACTTATTTAGTTTCGATCCCAACTTAACTTTTAAAATTTCTTGAAATATTCTCGACTTAAAATCGAGCTTATAACTGAATATCTTAATATCTGTACTCGAATCTAGGAACGAGTATTATTAATAAAAGTAATTTAGTCCAAACTCGGAACTAAAATAATTAATTTTATTAATTACTCAATGGGATATTACAGTGTTTTTGCTCAAAACCGCGACATTGTCTATATAATTTCGCGCAGCTTCTGAAAAGCGCACGTAATTTACGCTATATTTTTTTGCTATTTACGCAATTGCTTGAATTTCTCATGCTATTTTGGAAATTCTTATTTTAAATAAAAAAATAAATAAAGTAGAAAAGAAAAATGTAGATTACAAAATCAAAGAATCGACCCTTATTTCACTTTTTCTTCACAAACAATTCGCCTTCACCACTCAATCACACTCCGATTCATCCTTGGCTCCCTGCCATTCCGTTAAGTTTTGTTGCTTGTAGAAAATATGTATGGATGTTGTTGTATGTTTCTCTTTGAAATAGTTTTATGTGGGTTTGCTCGAGGGTTTTTTGTAATTTCTCCCCTTGCAAACTTGGGTGATTGTTAAATCATGTTGTATTTCTCTTGAAACAGAAAAATACATATTTGAAAAATTGATATCAACATAGCTAGGATTGAACGTTTTAATTATTATAATCATGGGATGTTTATGTTTCCTAAGCCCAAAAGTGAAATGAGAAGAACACTCCTTTTTTCTAGAGATACAAATATTTGTGAACTTTATCAATGATTTTTTACAGTGGAAATCTCCCAAATTTGATAGTATTGACCATGACAGTCAAATTCAATTGGATGACACTGAGGAGTCTTTACTTTATTGATTAAGACTTTGGTTGTTTGTAAGAATTAATATTTATAAGTTATTTTCTGGATGTAATGTCCAAGTTTATGTTTAAGACCATTTCATATACTTATTCGAAAATAATCATTCTCTCGTTTGGGAACAAGAACCATGGCGATTCTCTCATCGGGGAGGAAAATCTAGTTTTCTTCTTTGACTATCCTGTAGTTATCTGATCAATCTTGTTTTTATTTTGGTCTATTCTTCTTTTGGATATGTTTCAACTCATTACCATCCTCTTTCTCAGTCTATGTATATTCCAAAATTCAGGTATTCTATTGTTCTGTCATTTAGGAAAATATTCAATAATGAGGGATTTTCACCCGCATGTTGCAGATGAAGAGCTTTCTCAAAGACTTGAAAGTTCTATTAATCGGATAGATAAGCTACATTTACCATTGGGTATTGGAAGGTCCAAGAATGAGGTCTTCTCCTATTTGCTTGATTCTATCAGAGGAAAGCTACAGAGCTGGAAATCAAAGTCATTGTGCTCAGCTGTTAAGGCAGTCCTTCTGAAATCAGTCATACAAGCATCACCAATTTTCACAATGTCCTTTCAA